AAAAAAAAAAAAAGATTCCTCATATCAGTGAGATCATATGATACATGTCTTTCTCTGATTGACTTATTTTGCTCAGCATAATACCCTATGTAATTTCTTGAACTTACTTTTGGTTGGAGTATTTCCTTATTTTTTCTCTCAGTAGCTAAACATACAACTTAATACTTGATAAAAATGTCTTATTTGACAACTGAGTGATTTCTGTTTTTGTCGACTAATAATTTTATTCCTTTGGGTTAGCTTCTTAGTTCTCTGCCTTTTTATCATCTTTTAGCATTTTTATCTTCTCAGTTTTTCTTCAGCATTTTGGGGGCACTTCCTAAATTTATTCATCATTTAATTTTTTGCCATACCACATAGCTTTTTCTGTCCTCATAGCACATAGGTTTAATTTTCTTTTTTTTTTTTAAGATTTTTTTAAAAATGTATTTATTTGAGAGAGAGAGCGAGCGAGCAAGCACAAGCGGGGGCGGGGAGCAGCCGGAAGAAGGAGAAGCAGGCTCCCTGCAGGGAGTCTGATGCGGGACTCGATCACAGCACTCTGGGATCATGGCCTGACCAGAAGGCAGATGCTTAACTGACTGAGCCACCCAGGCATCCCTAATTTTCTGTATACATCATCACCAGTGGGTTTTACTGTAGTTTTTTCTTTTATTTCTTGGTGCATCCATCTTTCTACTTCTGTCTCTTGTTAACCTGAACACAAAGGGCCACAGTGAGAGGCAAACAAGTGTATTTGGCATTAAAGAACTGCAATTTGGGGAATACAAATTCAGTAGAAACCCAAATAGAATCCTGCTTCTAGGGTGAAAGTAAGGGGTTTTTATAAGGAAAAAGAAGGGGCGGAGCAGGTACACGAGTTAAGAGAAAAAAAGGCTAAACCCTTAGTTATACGTTGTTTTACTATAGATTCTGTCTTCAGAAAGTCCATAACCTGTGGACTTGTGGGCAGGTTGTTTGTTCTCCTGCTGACTTCTCAAGCAGTTACTTAAAACATTTGCTGTTTTGCCTAGTCCAAAGGTTTTGGTCTGGTCCGATCAGAAATGGATAAGGCAGTTTCTCTGCAGTGGTTAGTTACTTGGCTCCCTTTTAAAATGGCTCCATTCCTGTCAGTTTTTCACACCTTTCTTCACAAACTGCCCTCAGTTATAATGTAGTGCAGTATTTTTAATTAAAACCCACCTCTGAACTTTGAGACAGAGCAAGGGGAAAAAACCCAAAGCACAGCAGTTATCACATGGTCTCACTTTGTCTTCCTCTTTTAGACTTGGAGTTACTTTGGTATTTTTAATGGCACACTTTCCACACATACAGCCTTTGAACCACCAGTGGTGTGTTTTTTCAGCATAGACCTGGGGATGTTTTAGCAGGAGCAGAAAGTCTGCTCCTAAACCTTGCTGCTGTCTCACAAGTGGAGCCTGTTAACCACTGCCAAAGCGTTTAGGCAAATTTCAAGTTGGATATAATAAAAATAAATAAATAAAAATAAAGTTGAATATAAGACAACGACTCCTTTTTTTTTCTTTTAATTTAACCTATCTGCTGAAAATCTTGCCTTTTGGCATATGTATAGTATTTTCTTTTTGAGAGACTGAGATTTGACTTTGTTAAAACCAAAAATTAGATTTTAATATTGAGGATTATCCATCTTTGTATAACATGCTTTTAGATTGTTTTCTTAGGCATTTTATATTGATTTATTCTTGGTCACTTACACAAAACGTCTATGTTTTAATAATGTGTGATACATGTTAAAATAGCTTTTGGAAAAGTTTGATGTGCTACAAAATGCTGCTGATGAGACGTATTTCATTTGCTGCTGTCATTTAGCAACCCCTAACAACTCAAGGAATAGAAGAAATTTGCTTGTAATATGTACTAACAATGGATAAAAATAGCTCTTTTTTTTTAATACTGTCTTAAAAGTTTTGTTGCTGTCATTCTTCTTCCATTTGTTTTTGTCCAGATGACTGAAAATAATTTTTGGTTGAAGAAGATCGAAATTAGTGTTTCAGAAGCAGAAAAGCGAACTGGAAGAAATGCCATGAACATGCAAGAAACATATACTGCTTACCTCATTGAAACAAGGTGGGCGATGAGAATTAGATAGAAAAAGCTTTGTCTGGTAGCTGTTGATGCAAGTTATGTTGCTTAATGGAATTGTTTGCAAGTCATTGTCTTTTTAGGTATTGGGTTGTTTTTTTTTTTAGAGAGAGAGAGAGAGTGTGTGCATGTGTGAGTGGGGAGGGGCAGGGGAGGAGAGAGAGAATCCCAAGCAGGCTCCACACTCAGCGTGGAGCCCAACATGGGGCTCAGTCTCAACCATGAGATCATGACCTGAGCCAAAATCAAGAGTCAGATGCCCAACCGACTGAGCCACCCAGGCGCCCCTGTTTCTTTACTTTTTAACAGATAAACAGGTGTGTCTTTTACTGTAATACTCTTGGTAGCTATATTTTAATGCACTTGTGTTGGAAGTAGAAAGTTAGTGGAATACTTTTGGGATCTGAAATGTTACTTGACACATGCTTTGGTGGAGATTTTGGAGTTAGGTATAATAATCCCTATGCGATTTTGGGAAAGGAGATCGATTCCCAGGTGTGTATGAAGTGGACTTAGGTAGTAAGATGGTTAGCAGGGAAGTATAGGAGGAGAGGATGCCAGTCTAAATCCTTTCTTTCACAGGAAAGAATTGATTGAGACTAGAACTTTAGACTGGGATAAAATTGAAAAGAGTAAATCATGGAGTAAGAAATTAAAACTCATCAGAAAAATTGTCTTTTACCTCATAAGGAAAAAGTTAAAGGAATTAGACTGTTTTGACTAGAGAAAGGCAAGGCAAGACTCTATTTCACCAGTTATAAACAGTTTATATAAAGGCTATGTACCAACTAGTTCTTTACTCTCTGCGAGACTGAGCAGAAATGCTTTGAGTTAAAGACATGAGATTTTTTGATAGCCAGTAAAATAAAATAAATAGAACTACCAGATCTAGTTGGTAGTTATAACCATGTTTTAATGTGAATACATTTTTAAGGAAAAAAAATTTTAAACCCTGAATTTTCATAGGTTTACCAGAGTCACTGAGCTTGTCTTAAGGCTGCACCCTGTGACTTTTCAAGGCTTTCTCCAGGTCTGTGTTTCTACCCAAAATAAAAGTTAAAATCTTGGAAAATGTTGTTTATCTACAGGCAATTCTGAAAGTTCTCTTTGTAAGTATAATTTTCCTTCCTCCACCAAAAAGAAAAAAAAAGGAATCTTCCCAAAACGAGAGAAAATTTATGTACAATAGGAACTTTAGGAACAGAGGGAGGTAAGGTCGGTCTTTTAAAAATTAGGTCATTTTGGTTTTTTTGTATTTTTTTTTTTAAGTTTTTATTTTAATTCCTGTTACTTAACATGTAGTGTTATATTAGTTTCAGGTGTACAGTGTAGTAATTCAGCAGTTCCATACATCACCCTGTGCTCATCATGACAAGTGCACTCCTTAATCACCTGTTTAATCCATCCCCCCACCAGAATTAGGTCATTTTGTGACATATGTATCTACATATGTGTATCACAGAGATTTTTAAAAAATGTATTTATTTTTTTGTTATGTAGGCCCTTCACCCAGTATGGGGCTTTACTCACAACCTTGAGATCAAGAGTCACATGCTCTGCTGACTGAGCCAGCCAGACCCCCCTCACAGAGATTGTTTTTTTGGTTTTCAGATTGTTTGTTTGTTTGTTTGTTTATTTATTTTGATGTAGTGTTCCATGATTCATTGTTTGCATATAACACCCAGTGCTCCATTCAATATGTGCCCTCTTTAATACCTATCACTAGGCTAACCCATCCCCCCACCCCCCTCACAGAGATTTTTAAAGTGATTAAAAAAATATGGTCCCAGTAGAGGGTTTTTTTCCTGTTTGTTTGTTTTTTTTTAAGATTTTATTTATTTATTTGACAGAGAGAGCGAGAGCAAGAACCACAAGCAGGGGGAGTGGGAGAGGGAGAAGCAGGCCTCCCACTGAGCAGGGAGCCTAATGTGGGGCCTGATCTCAGGACCCTGGGATCATGACCCGAGCCAAAGGCAGACACTTAACAACTGAGCCACCAAGGCACCCCTCTTTTTTTAAGTTAAATTAGCTACTGAGCCACCCAGGTGCTCCAAGTGATCACAAGTCTAATTAACTAGCATCTGTCACCACACAGTTATAAAATTCTTTTCTTATAATGAGAACTTTTAAGATTTACTCTCTTAGCAACTTTCAAATATGCAATAGAGTATTATTAACTATAGCTTACCGTGCTACAAGTTCTTTAATATAAAACTAAAAAGGATATTTTCATTTTTAGTATGTGAATATTTTATCACCCAAATGAGCAGTGAAATTTGCTGTTGATTACTTTTACTGCTGGAAGAGAATCTTGATTTGAATAATTAGAATAATTTATAGTTGTTTACTTTTGCTTTTGAACTGAATAGAACATCATAATTTATACCTGGGAGTTAGGAGTGACCATACTTGAGTAATGTAGCTATATTCTGAATAAATAAGTGGATCATCAGTAAATGTGTGGTACACAAAATGATTATTGGGTTGACTTTCACAATTATATTTCATTATTTTTTTTAAAGATTTTATTTATTAGAGCATGAGCTGGGGCAGGGGCTGAGGGTCAGGGAGAAGCAGACTCCCCACTGAGCAGGGAGCCTGACATGGGGCTTGATCCCAGGACCCCAAGATCATAACTTGAGCCAAAGGCAGACACTTAACTGACTGAGTCACCCAGGTGCCCCCACAATTGTATTTCATTATAAATGTATATTTATTTATCTTCCACAATATTTTTCATGTAATTCTAAATTAAGACAGTGATTCCTAAACTTTAAAGTAATAGGAATCACTTGAGGAATTTGCTAAGCTGCAAGTTTTTTTTTTTTTTTTTTTTTTTTTGAGGGAAAGTATTGGAGGACTTTGGGCAAAGGAATGATATGGTCTGACATTTTTTTTTTTTAAGTCAAAGGTTTTTGAAGATTTTTATTTATACATTTGCAAGGGAGAGAGAAAGAGCACAAGTTGGGGGGGTGGGGGAGAGGCAGAGGGAGAAGCAGACTCCCTGCTGAGCAGGGAGCCCCACACGGGGCTTGATTGCAGGACCCTGGGATCATGACCCGAGCCGAAGGCAGACACTTAACAACTGAGCCACCCAGACGCCCCAAGTCACTGGTTTTTAATTTCTCCTGAGATTTTGTTTTTTTGTTCATAGAGTATGAAACCTTTTAAAGTAGATAAGAATATGCCTCTTTTAGAGTAGGTAAGAATGCCTTGATGGTTTGGGAGAAGTGTGATGTCATTACTTAAGTCTTCTGATTTGTAAAATGGGGCTAATGATACAGTCTATTATGAGCATTAAATGTTGCATGTAAAACTAGTTATATGCTATTAAATATTTGGCGAATGATTGGATAAATGTGTTAGTTTTAGGGTCCAATGTAAATATCCTCTATGTGTTTAGTCAGTCTCCAATGGCTAGACTTTGCCTTAAATGGCCTTTAAGAAAAAAAAAAACCAAAAACTTAAGCAGGTCTTCTAACAGCCTTGTAGGTGTACTTCTTATAGGCTATATTAATCTATATCAATCTGATTATTAGCAAGATGTGGGTTCTGTTGGTAATGATTTTGAATAATTTGAAACTTGATATTAATCCAGATATTTTTTGAGCTAAAGTTTGAGAATCTGAATTGGAATAGTATTAGTCACAGCTAATGTTTGGGTTAACTCTTTAAAATGAATTCTGATTTGATAATTTATGTTTCTGCCATGGGAACCATTTTTACAGTTTGAATTTCATGTTTTGTTTCTTTTTAACTGATAGGCAATGAGTAAATTTAGTGGCAAACCTAATACATAAATGATAAAAACACTGAGCATCTATTGTGCTAAGCATGGCATGATGTATATACTTTCTTAAGACTACTTTATTCCAAGACTGATTTAGCTTCTGGACCTTTATGCCCTAGGATGCAAATGCACATTGTGGTGATATGTGCATTTCTTGGAGGGCTTGAAAGCTATTGTCAATCAACCAATTAGAAAGTAGGAAGGTCCCGATAATGTTTAGGGACCGATTGATGCCTTTTAAGAATGATTATGCTAGGGGGCGCCCGGGTGGCTCAGATGGTTGGGTGTCTGCCTTCGGCTCGGGTCATGATCCCAGGGTCCTGGGATCGAGCCCCGCATCGGCCTCCCTGCTCAAGTGGGGAGCCTGCTTCTCCCTCTCCCTCTGCCATTCTCTCCACTTGTGCTCTCTGGCTCTATCTCTCTGTCAAATAAATAAATAAAATCTTTAAAAAAAAAAATGATTATGCTAGTAGAAATCTTAAGTAGTCAAAATAACTTCAAATATCCTTGGTGTGGTTTTAGCCAAACTTTCCCCCAACTGTAAGTTGAACTTTTATATGATATAGCCTGTAGCTCTTTATGGTAAAGATAAGACTAGAAATGAATTTTTACATCTTTTTTCCCCTACCCTTTCAGAGTTAACATTTTGCCTTTGAGGAGATGTCCTGGTACGTGGATGCATCTGCTTCCTTTATAGCTTTTAATCCAGGTCTTTGCAGTGTCTTGGTGTTTGGCATGAATGGTGGTGTCTCATTGTGGCTGAAGTATAGTTAAAAATACTTTTTGTTTAATGGAACAGTAGCTGAGCCAGATTTTACTGTATTGTAAAATCAATTATTATGCATTAACTGAATTATTATACATTGAGGTTTTTAGAATGTGCCTAAAATGATTATTTCTCTGGAGTTCAAATAGGTTTTCTGTAACAGAAGGAAAAGTGATTAGGAGTGAGGGCTTTGGAATCAGAGAGGTTTGAGTGCTTTATCCAGAGAGCTTTGTGAATGTAGGAGGGGTAGCTGCTTCCTCATCTGCACAATGGGCATAATAATCCCTGCTTCACAGGGTGGTTAGGAGGATTAAAAAAGATAATACACGGAAAGTTCTTTAGTGCCTGGTTCATTAGCATTTAGTAAATGGAGTTAAATTTTTTTTAAAAATGATTTTATTTATTTATTTGACAGAGAGAGACACAGCGAGAGAGGGAACACAAGCAGGGGGAGTGGGAGAGGGAGAAGCAGGCTTCCCGCAG